CATCAGAAATTGCGTGGCATATTGATGCCACAACGATTCAACGTCCAGTCGAAGTGAACCATGATTGAGACCATCGCGGAAGAGCGGCTAGGGGCGAACTTCCATCGTTATTCATGGACGTTCTGCTTACGAAGACTAAGTGAGACTCGAAAATAAAGATTAGGATGCAAAAGGACAAAAAAGGATAAAGCTGTCGGCGTTGATCAATCTCTGAGGGATGCGCTATGCATTCACCTACATTAAGCATCATTAGAGGTGAATGAATGCGTATCTGGCCTTTACAAACACGCGGTGACATACCGGTGTATCGAGCCAGTGCTGCTGTCCTCCCAGACAAGTGTGGTACCAATTTGGCGATCCCGAAAGGATGGAAGGCTCGATGAGGAAAGGACGCGGGGATCGATTCTATGTGTGTATTGGAGGGCGCCTCCGACCGTTGCGCCACGCGCGCCACGTAAAAAGGTAAAATTTTATTTTATAAGACATCGTTTTCTGAGAAAAAGGAGAAAAAAGAGGCCCGCACGGTGGGGCGGTGAATGTGTTAGCAAGCGAATAGGGTAATACAGTGTTCTATCCCCATCGCAGACCTATTTGGCCCGAATTCTTGCAAATAACTCATTATTATTGTGGTCATAAATATTAGGCTTTATTGCTGAAAGCCTGAATGAGCTGCGCTTGAGATTCGCTAATCACGTTCATGAAGTAGAGTCTTTATTGCTTAGCAAAAAGACCCTCAGCGTTACACTAATGGAAGGTTTCCGTAGGATTAATCACAAAGACCAACTTCAATAACCTCTTCATTGGTCAAGTAATTCACTGTTTTCTCAATAAGCAAACAACTATACTTTTTATCTCTAAGAAATCTGACGTTTCAGCGAATTTCTCCTTCTTCAGAACCTGGAATTGAAAAGTTAAAATTAAAAATTAAATATGAAGATCAAATTAAAAGTTCGAGTTAAAAGATGAACATCTCGTATTTGCTGTACAAAAACCGTGAATTATTTCACAACATTGGTGGGAAAGCATGACATGATCTCAACTTCTGTTGCTGTGAAGTTCTCCTACTTTTTCTTTTTCGATTTAAGGCGGTAGTAGAAAACATCCGAGGGCCTCCATACCGTACAACACTGTCCTTTTTTGTCCCAAAATTCAAAAGTTCATTGGAATTGCGTTTTCGCGCCATTTTTTATAAAATTATAAAGCGTAAATCATAATTGCGCGGTGTTGATCACTCACCACTCTGCCTATAACCAATTATAGGAGTGACTAAATGCATATCTGTCGTGTACAGCGACTTGCTAAGACTCGTCAATATGACGCTTCGATGTTTTTATCTTTCTTAACAACTCTAGTGTCAACTCGCCCACCTCGGAGGAGTAGACGGCTTGATAAATCTGAGATGTCTGCACGAACGAACCACTACGGATCCTTATCAATTATTACATCAGACATCTTTTGTTTCACCGTACACTCTAAACAATCTGATGCCACACATTATACGGATACTTCTTACATTCGATTCGTTCCTTTCCCATTCATCATCCATGGTGGTCATTCGATCTTTGCGAGTGAGTTCGAATGCTGTTTGATGCTTTTTCGTTTTTTATGAATTTTCAACGCTAGTCTACTCAATTCCTTTTTGATTCTTAGGATAACTGCGCTAAGTGTTCGCATTATATGAGATAAAAAAAGGATAAAGCTCTCTGCGTTCATCATTCCTGAGGGATGTGTCATGCATTCACCTCGATCGAGCATCATTAAAGGTGATTGAATGCATATCTGGCCATTACAATGACTCGTGGTGGCCTACCGATGTATTGAGCCAGTGCTGCTAACCTCGCAGATAGGTCTGGTACCAATATGACGACCTCGAAGGGATGGAAGACTTGCTGAGCTTGGAGCGTGGAATCGATCTAATGTGCATTGTATTGGGCCTCTAACCACAGTGCTACAGACGCCACTTTTATCCTAGATATGTTTCGTAAAGTTGTGAACTTCGTAAATATTCAGGGTTTTGAGAAGCCAGACATACGAAATAAACGGAGAAAGTGACCAACAGTAAGGGAAAGGAGATGACGAAAAATTATGCTGATGCTTTAGATAGTGCTCCAAAAGCTTCTTAAATTCCTTTGTAAAATGGATATAAGAGAAGATCATATAGCATTTAAAGCAGAATTAAAGGAGAACTTTGAGGACTTTACATCGCTCCGTTTTTTCTGTTTTAACAAGAGCAAGATGTTTTCTCAGGACGTCTCAGCTTCTGGGAAACTTTTGCCGATGTCCGCAAAGGTTATTCGATTTGCAAACATAGATGCCGAAAACTAGGCAATAAGTAAGACGATTTGTAAAGACCTTAGTATGTCTATTATATCTTATGTAATGCGCAAAGTAAAAAAAATTAAAACTTTAAATTAGATGAGATGCCTTGGTATCTTTTGTTTTCTGATATTTTGACGAAAGAGCTTTCGCAGGTCTAGTCGTTTTCCTCAGGTGACCTCTGTGGAGCGGTCGAACGGACAATACATTACAACGTTCACGGCTATGCCGCCAGCATGCAAAGCATTCCTCCCACTCGTTCACTTTAAAGCGATGTGGTTTTCGCTACAAATAATTTGCTCTTGTGATCCACTTACAAGCAGTTTGATAATTCTACACGGGACATTTTATTCGACATCTACAACTGTTCTCCGGTGAACGGAAATATTAGTCCCGAATGCAAATACTTTTTAATATTCTGTTTGAACAGAGTGATACTGCGGAGTCCAGAAGTGCAAATAGTAGGGTAAAGTTCATGAACCAAGGACACAATGCGGTGTGTGGCAGTTGTCAGTAATGGAAGTACTGCAACCGTCTCCTGGCACAGCATGTAGTGAGTGCGCGCTTGTTTCCGCCTGAGGACGTGTGTTACACTGCCGCCCTGTTGAGCTTCTCCGGCTGTCTCGTCGTCACATTCGCCTCACTTGTGTTGGCTTTCTGTCTTTTATGGAACTCTTAACACCTACTGTAGCTCTTCTCACTACAAACCGTCAGCTTATACAGTATGCAACTCAAAGCTCAGTAATCCAAAAAATTTTTGATCATGCAGTTAATTTTAATGGAGGCGTACTCGTTGATTTGAAGATTTACAAATAACACTCTTTAGCCTATCGCCTTTAGAATAAAAGCCACCCACACTAGAAATTACTTTCGTGGGTGTAGAACAATATGGAGATTCTTGATCTAGTTCTTAACACAGCGATTACATTACCTTCTGTTTCGCTCCGATTCTCCTCATACGAATCCCTTGCTTGCCTCTCTGGTGAGGAAGTCGGCACCAGTGTGTTCGCCGACTCTTCGCCATTTACTCGCCGTCGTCCTACGCAGCTCATCAAGAACATTCTTTCTTGCTAACACCACAAGCATTTTATTTCTCATTCCACTTTCGTAACCACACTTGATGAGCTGACATTGGCTTCTAATAAAAAATTTAATTGACCTTAGCTACGTTCTCTTTTTAGACATTCTTCATAGTTTTTAATGTTTTTTGATGAGCACTCGTGTCTATATCGTCACGGCAATGTAATGCGCTACTAAGTGTGTGTCCCATACTAATGATGTCTCGATTACATCACTATCCATTAAAGAATGGTACGAGCTAATTTGTCATTTTATTTAACCCTTCCTTAAATACGTAAATGCGCTTTCCTTTGTTCCTTCTCCTATGCTTGACGTATTAGATTCTTCTCAGTGACACTCGCGAGGTTGTTGGTTAATATCATAAAATCTTCATTAGTGATCACTATTCGATTGCGTAGGCGTAGACAGCCGTTTAGTTTTGATCTCTAATCAAATTTCAGACTAACTTATTATGGCTTATCACATAACTGTAGATGTGAGCGCTTGCACCGTTGCCTTTTCAACGAGATTTTCTACCAGACCTTCGATTATCAAAAGTGTCCACTGCGTGGACGTGAGTCATTCTCGGCTCTCAGCCGTCCCTTTGGTATTCCTAGTTTGCCTGGTTTGCCAAACTCGAAATATGAAACATTCTGAGTCGTTTTGGAAACATCTTTATCTCCGAAATGACATGTAAAACTGCTTCTTATGACGTAGCCAGACTAGAAGCTAAATGGGGTACAATAATGATTTTCTAGGGAAAACTACTCAGCAGGAGCCACAATTCTTCTTAAGCTTTTAACTGAACCCAAAAGCCATTCGGCAGGCGTTTTCAATTTCTTTGGTAGGCTGATTGCTATACTCCACTTCTTTCTTTGGCTATTGTAGACTTCTGTAGACAGATGAATTGAGTTCCTTTATGTGGTTTGCCTTTAGCGATTGCCTTTATTCTCAAACTCTATTATCATTACTGATCAAGGCTCTCCTGAATGTATTCCATCCATCACTATAGCACCTACTGGTAACCAAGAATTGCACAGTTACTGAATTTCTCAGCTCGATAATCACTTCGCTACAGATTTATCGACCATTGTCTCTGCCGAAGCTTTATCGATTCCAGCGAAACGGCCGTGGATCGCCATTCGTTCGAGTGTAATCCATCATGCAGGATATGCAGACGGCGATCCCTCCTGTACCGTTAGAACGAAAACACCAAGTACTCTTTTGATGGATAGAAATAGATCACCTTCATTAAAAATATCTTCCACAAGAATTCACAAAGTAAAAGAATTCTTTTTCGCTACTCTAATGTGCAATATGAGACGACCGACATTTCGTGAAACAGTTGAAAAACAACGGAGGCGTCTTGTGTACAGCAATCTACTTTGAACGAAACCATGAAGCACCAATTAACTTTACGATTGCTATCGTTATTAGTTATTTTCTCATTAGGACCCCTAATACCATTAATACCAGTATGGAGATATCGAATCTACTTGTGAAGTTGAGTCAAAGAAGGCTACCGAAATCGCTCATTTTGTTCTGTGAAGTGCTAATGAAAAGAAGTGTTTCTTTGCGAAATAGATTAAAGTTCCTCACAAGTTTGTGTCTCGATTCAGATTAGAATGGTGGAACCGAATGGTATTCCGAACGGCATAGATACCAAGGCAGAGGAAGACCTCTCCACGACGACGGTGTCGACCATAGTCGTCCGTGCCGGAGAGCACGCCTTCATTGTCGTGGCGCTGCTGAAGGTCAGATTTTTTTTTCCTCGGCTGGTCTACGAGCGTTTCGTTGACGACCAAGCAGCAGCATTTTCCCATAAGTAGTGCTACTTTTTCTTGGCGTTGTTTGGCTTCATCCTGATAGTCTACAATAGAGCGCAGAAGATAAAGTTTAGGAAGAGTACTTCTCAAATAAAAAATTGCGTTGTGAGAATTACGAACTTTCTGTGCTCCCTAAAATTCAGTGTTAACTAACAGCAAAGCCAATTATAGATAATAGTACTGTGCTCAGAAAAAAGGAAGCTTTCTATAATGTATAGGTATGAACCCGTGGTATTTCTGTTGACTATCACGTTGATATTTCGAGTTTTTTCGAAGTTCTTATGTTGTTTGGTAAAACTTATCTGATTGCTTTTTCAAAGGAAGCACTGAAAAACCCTAAACAGCAAAAAATACTTGTCAATTCCCGCAATGAATGTTCTGCATGGGATTTGGGAAGCAGGATAAGCTGCTGTCAACAATTGGTTTGAAAGCAATGGACCACTCAACGAAATAAATAATATCCCTCCCTAATTTCGTCAAAGTCAATCAATTTTCGTTTAAACTTGTAACGACGGCGAAAGTGGTAGTGTGTTTTTCCCTCACTATGTTTCTACTTGCAGTCCGTTGGCTATGTTGAATTGCGCATCGACGAGATGAGACCTGGGCTACTGGCGATCGGTGGCTCCTGCGAGGAGGCTGCAGCCCTGGTGAACATTCACGAAGACCTTCTGGCCAGACTCAGAGTAAGCTAGACAGTTTTTTCAATAAAAATCTTCCTTCAGTGGTTGGTGCTTGAAAGCTAAAACAATGATGACGGAATGATTTTTCACTGCCTAGATCAAGGTTTGAATGATATCTTCCGATGTTGTGGTGCTACATTCTTCACTTTTTCAATTGCTAGTGATAATGAAAGGATTTTTTTAACGAGAGATTGGAGGAAAGAGTGCAGTCAATAGGTGCTTGAGCCGGTTAGAAGCTCTCTCAATACCAGTTATACGTTAAAAAAGAACTTTTGAACTACAACACTGCAAACTATGGAGAATTTTCGCAAGCAATTGAGAGCGGTGCACGTCTCGCGCAGTGATTAAGGGGAGCACTGAAACACACATAGTTCCGATCCTGCTCCTCCGACTCGGCAAGCCTTCCATCACTTGGGCGTGGACAAATTGATACCAGACTTGTCTGGAAAGATGGAATTACCGATTTGATACAGCAGTAGGCCACCGCAAGTCATTGTAAATGCCAAATATCCATTCAGTCACCTCCGATGACACTTAATGAAGTGGAATGCTTCGCGCATCCTTCAGGGATTGATGAACGCCAAGAGCTTTATCCTTTACTGTTTACCGTTTTCACTTAGAATGGGCCACGTGCGTTGTCAAGGAAAAGAGTTGCGCTATCTATTTCGAAAGAATGTAGTCTCATTTGAACATAGTGTGAGTATAATCCGATGAATAGGTTTTTTGCTTTTCCATCAGCAAAATAGCTTAAAAAAAATCAATGGTCACTTCAAATTCAGAAAGCCAGTACTTGCTTAATTTTCTTCTCTCACAAGAGGCGGTGATACGAATGGAATAGAAGCGTGCTAACGTTCTGGTAAATTTTTTTACTTAGGACAAAGAAGATCAAGTAGCGGCGTTGCTAAGCCGAGCTGACAACCTCAGCTCGGAAAAGAAAGCGAAGGAGGCGATTATCTACGGCGACATGGCGAAGTCCCTCAATGAGGTACGATGTTTTAATATATCAAGAGTTACTTATTTAATCAATGATTCTTTTCTTTCATTATTTATTATTTGCTGTTTTGAAAAGGAGATGCCTTTATTACGACAATGAGAACTAAATGTAAGAGAGAAAGAACTCTAATCAAAATTTAGGCGACTTAGTGAGAGGAACTCACAGAAATAAGTTCCATAAATCGTAGAAGCCTAAAGATTTCTTGGTGGTAAAACCACGGGTGATAGAAAATAGTAAAATTGGAATAGGTCCGAAGTAGCGGATTTCAGGTTTGGCGGGGTTTAAAGAAGAAACTGATGCTACGAAGTTACCTTTTGAGGGAAGTATATTCTTTTTATCAGCTGGCCCAGCACCATGAACAGGTTTGTGGTCTATTTGAAGTTAAAAGAGTAGTTTGGAAAAGTAACCGATGGTTGTAAATGCAACCCTCAAACTTGGTTCTTAGTGGGAAAGAACCATGAAGAGCATGAAGAGAAAGCAGCGAGTCTGAAAAAAGTTACATGTTTTTCAGGCGATCAGTACGCTTGAAGTTTTTAGTTTTTTTTCTGAAGTCAATTGGCGTATCATGTCTTATCCATTTAATAATTGCTCGCTATACAGACTGATCCTTCCAATGGTTTACCGTTTCACCGTAGCTGGAAGGTGTTCCTGAGTTTCGGGCTGCGATGTACAGCGGGGAGATTCATTCCCCTGGCAGGGTCGCCCAAGCAGAGAAGGTGCTTGGCGTTTCCATCAGGAAGCCGAGCTAAGAGTAAACCAATACCAGGATCCATCACCGTCCTGGTACCAAACTACTCCCTCTGATCCACAAGGGCTACGATTGCCTGCGGTGGTGACCACCTAAGGCAGACTTTGGCATGGCTGATCTCGGGACTCCGGGGAAACACTATAGCTTGACCAGCAAAACTCCAAAAAAATGGAGATTATACTGAGGCTCGCACAAGTAGTGACGACGTGCCATCCAAGTATCCAAGTAAGTAAGTATGAGGTGGGAAATCGGAACCTCACGAAAGTCCCTTAATTTCCAATAAGTCCATATTTCTTCTGACTCCATGTGGATATCACCGTGCACTCTTGCTCCAGCTTTATAAAATATAAGGAAAGCTAAAAGCTTATCATTTACTGTCGACTATTGTAAGAGTAGAGGGCTTTGTTGAGATTGTTTCTGTATAAGGCTGATAACTTCACCTTCACTTAGACTCATGTTGTCATGAAATAATAACAGTGTGCGCTGTCTTAACAGATTTTTTTACATTGACTTTGTCGTAACTGCCGATACGCGGTTGACTTAGCCTGGTTCATGTGGGACATTTATCAATTACATACTTAAATGTTTCTTCACTACACAGCATGCCGTTTCCATTACTTCATTCGTTCATTTTTTCCTTGTAACCATAATCCACTGAGCTGGTTGAGCTGGTGCATCGGTTCGGTTGCAGTTCGGTGTGAATCATCTTTATTATCATAGAAATCGAAGGTTTTGCCTAACTGATGTCGCTGTTGTCCAGAAATTCTAAACGGACTCGGACCATTGCCTTCATTTTGCAAAATTTCATTTTTCGCAAAAAAGAGAATAAGCAGTTAAATTGAAAAACGAAGTCCCAAAACCACCATTAGCTGGGATTTATTCAATTCACTAGTCGGCTGATGGGAAAATGCCGTTTACGATAACATCGACGAAAAATGCAGTCGGCTCATTCAACATATTCACGTTAGCGCTATGAGAGCTGAAAGTTCGAAATTCATCAAAAGCAGCCTGTCTCCAAAAACATTGGAGCTAATATGTCAGCGAGGAATGGTACGAGCTCAACTGCCGACACACTTCCGAACTTGCAAAACAGTGCAGACAGGCGATAAAAGATGAACTTAAGGAGAGAAGAGCAGCAGTAATAACCGAAGCTGCAGAGGGTGAGGAAAGCATTCCCCAAGCCCACCGAAGCATCGCCAATTACAAAACTAAGGTTACTCTGACACTCAGACAGAACAGTTACAGCGTCCAGAGAGATAATGGAGGAAATCATTTCCGATTACTGCTCAGATCGCTTCAATAGCCGTGTCCTCCTTTCCTCATATGAAATAAAGAAAGATGAATATATGTAGCACCGGTTGTCCTTTCGAAAATCTGAAATGCTATTTCGTAGGTGAAAAATCGAACAGCACCAGGTCTTGACAAGATAAGATCTGACGATCTGAAGAACATTTTGCCACTTCTCATGAGCACACTGGTTCAGCTGTTCATACGTTACCTGTTAGAATGCAACGTTTCTACTTAATGGAAGACCAGTAGCACTGTGTCATGGTGAAGAGAACAAAGAACACCCGACTGCGTACCCATCTTTTCGATTTCGCGATTCCTTCTAGCTTAACGTTCAAGGAAACTGAGGAACTGGCGCCCTCTCGAGTCAGTCGACGATCAACGGGACAATAGGTGATACAAGGGATCGTCACTTTTTAACGCATTTAATGCCGGTCGGTAATTCATCTTGGGTAAGTGGTAAGTGGCTTTCCCTGGAAACCCGAAGTAACCGAGCTAGGGCGATTAGTACTTCAGAACTCACTGAGCAGAACATTCAATTCATAATCTTCTGTTTCAGCGCATGTCCACTATGACGGAGGCTCTGAAGACGCTTGTACACGCTCAACACGACGGAGATATCGCACTTGCCTCAAGAAGAGTGGAACAAATGATAAACGGTATATTTGACAGCAAATTTGGAAAAGCTGCCTATAGAACGGAGGGCATGGCTCGGATATTCACTTACTTGCCACAATTTCAGAAATAGTCGACACCACGGCGCAAGCAATGGATGTCGGATCATCGGTGATCACTCAAATCCGCGCCCTCGGTCAGATAGCGGACAATCCCGAACGACCACAAGAGATTCTTTCCTCATGTATGCTCATTGAAAAGGTTATGCTACGGTAAGTGCTCAGACGTCTTGATTATTCACATTGTCACACTTATTTCTTTTTAAAGAATTTTAAGCACTGGAATAAACCTGCAGACAAAAATGGGAGAAGGTATTTTTTTTTCGTCAGAAATGTTGTTAAGTGTCAACCAAAAAGCTCCTGGAAAAAACCGTGGAATCACATTAGTCATTGAAATCTTTGGAGTTTCCGCTTTTAGCTCTCTGCGTAATATAATGGGGCTTCGTATTTTATCGGTCCGATGAAGAAAACGCGTTTTGAGTCAGAATTCCAATGAAACTACTTTGTGGACATAGACAGTTATCTTTTATTCACTGCCTGTTCTTCTTTCATGGCAGGGTACCTTTAAGAACAGTTTCAATTCTGAAATCAAGTCTGTTACCAGTTACTATGGTTATAGGAAGTGACCACCTTTAGGATAGAAATGTGATTATTTCAAGGATTAAAGCCGGATAAGCTGAAGTCCTCTCCATGTAGATTTAGTTTGGTGGCGGCGCAGTTCTTTTCCGTCCTAATAAAAGGTCACCTGCATAACAAACATCTGAGACTCAACATATTCACTATACCATCCGTATCATTACTGTCACTTTGTGCGACGAGTGTGTTCGGTCAGTGAGGTGTTAACCTATCGATGTGTATTTTCCGGGATATCATAGATGGGAAAGGTTTCGAGGATATGAGCTATACATTCCGGCTAAACGTTGTGTATGCTCGCTAAGTTTTAGAGGACAAGGTGCAAGGGCTTTGTGGGTGATGCCAAAAATTTATGACGATTTTATGACGACGGTTGAAGGATTTTCCAAAATTTCTGCAACATAAGAGAGCGATTGAAGGACTGCTGAATCGAAAAGGTTGGCGAGGAGCTGGACGGTAGTTTCTTCGAGAAGGCCGAATGGGTCCTATGATGTCTAGTTTCTATGTTTAATTTTTTTTATGTTGCTCTTTGAACGCTCAATATAGACATACAAGGTGGTCTGTGTAGTCAGAGAACCATCCAAGGAGATTTGTTCACATTTGCACTGCGAGTATCCTACCAACTACGCTTTCTTCCGATTTAGGCCTTGACCAGATTTTTCCACTTTAGCTGAGCTCATTGAGCACTGTCTCTGCTTCTTTGATATTTTCCCAAAACATGAAAATGTTGTCCGTAAAACGAAGGATTGACAGGAATTTTCCATCAACTCGTACGCCCTCTCGTTGCAGTTGAGCAGCGACTTCGTAATCCACAGTTACGCGACTGCGAAGATGCGTGGCGATGCGGAGTCGCCTTATTGAACTTGTTTTGCAGTGAAGATGCTAGGGAGCTGATGGAAAGCCTGTACCAAGATGTATTTTCCAATTCTTTCAAGAAAGAAAATAAGCAGCGAAGACCTTCTGTGTGATTTATCGTTGTCGCCGATAGTGTGGTATTCTTTCTCCATCCTATTCTAGTGTGCAAAACAAATACTAGTAAATCTTCAGGAATTGCCACTACTTGAAATTTATTCCTAAAAGATTACCGGTTTTCACAGAGATGAAGATGGATGTCCTTGTTTAGCAAGCTTCAGTCCGTTTCTATGTTTGAATATTTTCTGTTAACCTCGGCATTGATTGATAATTCGATGTTTTTCTTCAATAAGCAGACACGAAGTTGTCATTATAGAATTTATTAGGATACAATAGCTGACGTTTCGGCGGTTTCCCCTTCTTCAGAGCCGTTTATTTGTTGTAAGTATTTAAGTTAGTTGTTGGATAACAGCCGCTCAGAGTAATACATGGGGGATAACAGCTATAACACAACATGTAACATAACAATTATCGCCCATGTATGACTCTGTGCGGCTGTTATCCATCAACTAACTTAAATACTTACAACAAATAAACGGCTCTGGAGAAGGCGAAACCGCCGAAACGTCCGCTATTGTACCCTAATAAATTCTATAATGACAACTTCGTGTCTGCTTATTGAGGAAAAACATCGAATTATCAATCAATGCCGAGGTTAACAGAAAGTCGGTCCTGGAAATCGAAGATCCTTCTACTTTTTTCTGTTCGATTAACAGAACGAACATCTTAATAAAAGTTCCGATCACAGCATGTAACTGTACGACCTTTGTCGTTACGTTATGAGCATAGTGGGCCAACCAAAAGCAAAGCTTTATTTTTACACCGGGCATTAAGTAAATAGGAATCCCAGATGAACATTGATTTGTTCAGGATCGCGTCCGAATGGGAGCGAATCGAATCACTGTGGAAAAATGAGAGGGCCAAAATTTCTGAAACTGTCGACGAGCTGCAGGTAAATATATACATACATTTATATTATATTTATATTATATATTACACACATATTTATATTATATATTATACATATATTATTATATTATATTATATATTATACAATACATTACATACGTTTATATTATATTTATATTATATATTATATACATATGATGGTAGCTTTCTGCTTTTTACAGCTGATTGAACAATGGCTGAAGCACGCTGAGCGTCGTATCAAGGCTGTGAACGACCATGGATCTCGACAACTGCTTGAGGAAGGAAATGTGTGCTTTTGTTCAAAGCCATTTTTAGATATGCTCTTTTGCGTTATGTGCGCTTGGCATTTTTTTCTGCTTTCAAGTAGGATAGGTGTTTAGGCTAACCAAGCACGACTGATGCAGATTAGTGCAAGCGGTGTGGCCGATGACGCCAGAATTTCACATCTGTCCGGTAAAATAGAGGAATTCCTTTACTACGTGAAGACGAGGATGAACCGATCACAGCGTATACAGTCGTTCTTCCAGTCGGCTCAGACGGTTAGCGTGCTGCTTTCAGCCATAGTAGCATTTTTGACGTTTCTCTTCCTCAATAACATTTTGAATCATGTGTAATGCAATGTGGTGGGTGGTGTGTGAATGTGTGCGTATTACAGCGCTTTAACTAACCTGTTACATCATTTAGGCCCTGCTACTAACTCTTTGTGTGGTTGTGATGTACCAGTTATATAAACGGAAATACCCAAGATGTTCATGTGGTTGAACTGCCATTTCTTTGTAGTTACTAAGCAGAAGTAGATGATGATTGTAGATCAACTGCATGCGAGTCCTCACATTTGAATTTATAACAGTGAATGCAGCTAACTTCACGTTGGATCTGTATTGTTGTGCTTTGTTGTTCTTAGCTCTTCATTCATTCTGGCTTAGCATGAACGGCAATATTAACGATTCACAGAATTTGAGAGTGGAGAACACCAGTGTGTTAACTGAGAGCGAATCCATGAAGCCACATCACGAACAAAGCGGAGATTGTAGTTCCCAGTGAGTCTGTCTCCGTGCGTTATCGTAGAAAAGCTACCTAGCGCATTTATTCTTAGTATTGTTATCCTCACAGTGGACTTCAAAAGATATTTGACCAAGTGGAATTAGCTAGCAGTAGCGATTTCTTGTAAAGCTGTGATGAATATGTAAGAGAACAATGCAGGGTTTTCTTATCGAAACGTTTATTTCTTAAATAATGTCTGTTTTGGCACCAATACAAGTGGCATCTAAATCCTGGTAGTTTAGCTCTTAGTTTTGTCAGTCTGATGGTGAAGCAGCTTAGGAATATCTTCCTGGCTCTCCTTCCCGAGTAGAAAGTACTGAATGCGCTTGTGCTTTTTATAATCATAATTGTCCAGATTTCTAAAGCAATTGCGTGTTTAAAGTGTTGTGTCAAACAATCTTCGTGTGTTTCACTCGTTGATGATATGCCTTCTCACTGTATTTGTCGTCGGCAACGTTAAATAACTGTATGTTGTATTACTTGCACGATGACTTGCTCCATGTCTTGCTTGCATGGATTTTACAATGAACAATGAATATTTACGAACGATAGTTTTTTTTGTTTAGCTGGGCTGAACAGATACCTTAAGCAATTTATTCCACTTACTAGGGACATATGTGGCCTTGACACTTGCTGGTAAACTGCTTTTAACAGCCCGAAATTCAGCTTGTTGTTTGACTTTCAAATAGTGTTGAACGAAAGAAATAGTCACTTTGTTTTAATTTTTGCTTATTACTCTGAGAAAGCAAAAATTCTAGTAAGGAAGACACCAGTTATGAGGGTATCCGAAAATGGAGTAAGAGGTGTTTTTAGAAGGTGGTAAATAGCTGTCTTAAGAACTCGGTAGAGGAGTCAGCAGTCGTCAAGAAAATGTGTTCCAAGGATCCATCTTAATAATCAAGACTTGCCTGGACTGCGATATCTCATCGATGTTCACCCCTTCTGTCTCATGTGAACTGTCGGAAAAGTTTTCTCACTCGTCTTTCGTTTGGGTAGCGGGGGAGCATCGTGTGCATGCTGTAGTAATGAACGAAAAAATGGAAGGAAACCGACCTGTTACACTTTCGACAAACCTCGGTGCATTGTCCTCCCGTCGTGTTGCAATCATTTATTACTAGTCCTCACAGTAAATTTTTTGTTCAATTATACTTTTACTTTCATTAGGCATCCTTAGAAGCGACTAAATCTGGCCTTTGCGATTATTTAAAGTAGTATACCGATGTATCAATTCAGTGCCGCTATCCCCCGGAGAAGTATGGCATCGACTTTCCAAACGAGGAGGGATGAAAGGCTTGGTGAACTTGGGACGTCGACCAACAAGCACGTGTGTATTGCAGAGGATCTCCGGCCACAGCGCTACACTAGTCCCACTTTCATTATTTAGTAAAATAAATAATGTAGATTGCGCGATACAGATTTTTATGTTTCAAAAATAGCCATATCATGCAACGGGGGTAACGATTAGCGGCCTAACCCCACTTTGCCTGAAAGGCTGATGTCACTAAAAGTGTATACTGGTAGTCTTTCTTTGTTTGAGTCTGTGGTTGACGAAGTTTAACCATTATTATGAGAAATCGCCGTACTCCATGATTGTTGCTGGAGTACGTGATAGCGACAACACGTTCAATGTAACTTGGCCTTTTGAAAATCCGTACTTTTTCAGCAAGTATCTCAACTCTTGTATAAACGCTCTAAGTTTTTTATAAGAATATAACGGAAGAGTCGACTATTTTGTGGAAAAGTGTCCATGCCCAGAAGGAGCAGTGCTACATTAAACTTTGCTGTGAATGTCGAATCGCCCGCAGAGAATGTTTGGTGGCTGCTCAAGCAAACTATATCAGACGCGGGCAAAGACTTTAAGGAGAAGAGAAGAGCTCATCCACTTTATCACACGATGACACACTGACTTCCGCAAATTACGGTGTTTTTTTTATAAATCTTGATTTACATGAAGCTAGAAGAAGCTAACAACAGATCGTTGTGTTTAGCTCATACAACACTGCGCCCGATGACAAGCGGGCATGTCAATGCCTTTATGGGTTCAGCAGTTCCGCCTATATTAATGATTTCATAGACCACGCAGCGGCTTGCTCTCTGCATCCGACATATTCTCAGAACGCCCTATAGTCTTAAGAACTCACCAGTAGTGGTACGGCCTCCTTCCACATTTATTTCACCCATGGGATTTTCAAGAAAAGCACCGTTCGTGGTGAATACCTTATACATTGAACTAAGAGTGGCGACCGCCTTGAAGCCGCTATACAACGTCATCGCCTCAAGATGTTGACAAGGTCTAAAATTAATTTGAAAATTAGTTTAAAGTAACCCAAAACTTTTCCAAAACGAGTGTGGCTTTTCTTAAGTTTTCGGAAAGAAAAGTTGGTTTCAGATGTGCAATAATCGGGATATTGTCAACTTTTGTTCTATTCTCGTACTCATTGTAGGTGGTGTGCAGTACAGTTATACTATTTATTTTGCACTGTTATTAGTCTTATGAAAATTTGACGATTTGGTAAGAATGTTAAGTTGTATTGGGTTAAAAAAATGCTAAATATCCATTCCTAGCTTTCTTAGTATTTGAGAGCTTCCCATTTGCAGTGCTTGAAACGTTCATCTAAGTAATTGGTGTTATTGTTGATGGGAGCGTCAAACGTGCTTCGCTTGCTGTGCTGTTTAACACAAAAATTTAAAACTGTCATTAAATTGAAGTCATAATTCTTTAACAATGATATTTCTTTGAAGCAAGACTTCATCGAGCTAAAAATGCATTTATTGGAAGAATACGCATAGTGTGGCTTAAACGTTGAGAAAAGTCCTGAGAATGACTTGATACTTCTCAACAAGCGTGGAGTACGTCGTCCATCTATCTGTGAATTGTAGATGCTCTCGCAGCTGTCAATGATGGCAGAGGACATGAGGAACGCGAATGCTGCCATGGCTGGCGAACTCTTTCCACTGGCTCAGCAGAAAGCGTCAACGGTCATCCACGAAGGAAAAGAGATCTTTGGTGAGCTATTGTATTGAGGAAAATCGCCAGTCCTACTACTGACGATGATATTGCAGACAAGGAGGTGCTCACGTACGAGGAAAAGGCGCTAGTGAAGCAGAGATGCGATGATATGGAAGCGAAATTGCGGTTGCTCGAACAACTTGCACTCGAAAGGCAGAAAGGTATTCAAGAAATCAGCCAACAGGTTCGTCTTGCGATCCGTTAAAGACTTCGGATAATCTTAGCACTTCATTCTATTTGTCTCTTAAAACTTTTTCATGTATAATACATTTCAAGAAATACCAAGTAGTCAGGTGAGAGTATTACTTCGTCGATGTTTCGACCATACCATTTTTGTCATAATGTGTAATTAATAAGCGGATCTGCAGTAAAGAAAAGGGACTTGGATCAGTTGTATTTATAGCACTATTATTATTTTTTTTACCACTATTTTTTACCGCTATTTATACCACTGTTATTTATTGCAAAATACCTTGGATTGTATGGCTTGAAGTGTTTTTTAATTCTGAAGTATAATAACTCTTGCCGAAGGAGTACGCAAAGTTTTTTAATTTGGCATCATGATGTTAAGCGACAAATGTAAGAAAGAGGATCTCTTAAGGACTGCATTTGCTTTCACTATTCCTTCTGCACACGTTCTCAATATTTCCCAATTTTTTCATTCCCTGTCAACCTTCATAGAAGTCCGTTTCCATGCTAATCATCCTATCTTCAGCTAGCAAGCCTGCAGTCGTGGAACACAACACGAGCGGTTCCATTCCTTGCCACTCACTCTGATATGGGTGGAACTTTCAACGAAGCCGTCGATTTCGTTGATGCTCATAAAGCGTTCATCGAGGAAGTTGTAGTGAGTAACTCTCAGTCGTTATGCTCTTAGAATTTGAACACCCATAAAATATCATTCACCTAGTTCAACATTACGAAATCTGTCTATTTTTGTTGTATTCCATCCGAAATCACTGGAAATTTGTGAAGCGTCTTGCTCACATTGGAGGTTTACCTTTCAGGAACACTTCTATACATGTACAAATAATATACCGACGTATGGACGACGTAAAGATTGAATCAATGTCTTGCTGTGTTTTCAGAATCGTGATGCTTCTGTGGTATCGGTGCTGAGCAAAGAAAATGAGATGACTTCAATAGAGCAGAACGCCATGCGGGACTTTGAAAAGAACTACGAAGAACTGAAGGAGATTCTGGAAAATCGCGTACGCATCGGGAACAATTTTGTCCAGGTACATTTCTCGGTACTCGCACTGAAGTAGTATTCGATGGATTTTTTCAAAGCAGCGAATCGACTCTTTGAAAGCGATTGGAAAGCTGCTAATGTTTTCAGAATGGTTCTTTTGTTGAATGTCGATGTTGACGTGCATTTTGCATGAAAACCAGTGATTTCACATCATTCATAGGAGATTGATGAATACAACAAGAGTGTTTTGCTTCCACCAACCGAATTCGAGAATAATTACAACACTAATTTTCCATGAAAACCACGGAAAGAGTCTTCTGTCAAAAATCTAGGTGTTCCATGCTTCTTCTAAGGGCGCGTGTGGCGCAGTGGTCGGAGGCGCTCTGCAACATACACATGGGATCGATCTCCGTTCATCTGGCCCACCAAGCCTTCCATCCCTTCGGGGTCGGCAAATTGGTACCAGACGTGTCTGGGATGATAGCAGCACTGGCTCGATACATCGGTAGGCCAGCGCGAATCATTGTAAAGGCCAGATATGCATTCAATCACCTCCAACGATGCTTAATAAAGTTGAATGGATGGCGCTTCCCTCAAAGATTAATCAACGCCTAGAGCTTCATCCTTTTTATTTGTACTTCTTATAACCATTTCTTAAAACGGGTGCTCTAGCCGGGTTCAACAGCACGCTAAAGTATTTGACACCTATACAGGTAAATTAAATCTTATGTTTATTGTTATTATTCGGTTTTTCTAATTATAGCACTAGAGCATCTCTATCGTTGATTAGCATAAATCTGAATGATAAGGAGGTTGTGAGAAATGTGAATTCTTGTATAGTAGCCGCTCTAATGCTGACACGCGATTATTTTCAAAAGCTGTTTCGTTGCCAAAGAAGAATCAAAACTGACGAAAATGATGCAGACACCAGTAAAGTCGTCCGACATTTTGATTCAATCTTATAGAACAATCAAAGTGCTTCTAGAACGTCTAAGTGAAAATCTTAACTTAGAAGAATCGCGAAGGTCGCCACGATAGTTCATTAATCGATGCCAAAACAAAGTCTTTCTTGCAAATCCTCACCAGAGCTATATTAGACTTCTTGCTATTCATTGAAGGTGTACAAATTTGCCAAGGATCTGGAGGCGTCGTTCGAGGCACTCACCTCGTTGCTGGACACCAATCGCGACTTCGCCAATGAGCAGGTGGCCGGACAAGTGGACAGCGTATTCCATTTGATCGAGCAGACGATGGCACGTGAAAAACAAAACGGTCTGACAACTTTTCTTCTCGTACAACGAATTTATTGCATTAACAAAATTTCTACTGTTTCCACTGTATATCCATACTGATAACATGTGAATATCGTAAATGAAGCACACTGGAAATAGTGAGCCGGGTAAAAGTCACTCAGTACGGGTTTTTCGTTAGAAGAATGAGTACCACGCCAGTGGAGCCAGTAGCAATTGATGATAGCAAGCTCTCAACTCAATCTCTTTCCAGCGTTACCGATGTGGTTCCAAGCCATTCGCGTAAAGTTTCACTAATGAATTTGGAACCACATTTTTCATTCCAGTTCTTCTTGGAAGCTAGGAGCCATCACAACAATCCTGCGTTGAACTAATAATTCTTTGAATTCGCTAACTGCTTATAGTTACTCCGTCTAATTTAACTTGCTTATTTTGTCTATCCAGAAATATGTAGAACATCGTGCCGGTTTCAAAGCTAAAGAAAGCTTGTTCAATAGAGCTGAAAAGAAAAAATAGGCCCAATAACTGAACTGCAAAGAAAATATGATATGTCCTACACGAGCAGAATGGTATACTGATATGTTTCTAAATATTCAGAAAGTCAGTCTACAGCTCTAGAGATTTTTTCTATCTGAAACCTATCCATGGTTCTTTATGCATGCACAACTTAATCTTTCGAGAAAAGTAATGCTCACTTGTTTGACTCCACACCAATACTGATTAAGAATTTCGACGTAGAGAATTTCTTGACGAGGAAGGATGTCCAAATTTTTTAGCTCAGTGACCCAAGAACGATTTTGCAGTGAAAAAGACTACTTCCAGTGGAGCAATTTGTAAAAGCAGCAGAGGCAGTAGCCAAAACTGACGAAAAGCTCAGCGTGGTGCGCTCGATTCAAGCGGCCAAGAACCTCGTCGTCGACCACGACCACCAGTTCACTTACGTCAAGCATAAGTGGTCCGAATGGCAGAGGAATAAGGTATATCCAGAAAAAAACAACTTTTTTTTCCTAAATATAACGGGACGAGAATAATTCTAGGCCGAAATGCGGAAACTTATGACGATAGTCGAAGAGGTGCAGATGTGGCAGGAAGACACATGGGAAATTATTCGCCTTCTCGAAAATACTAAAACAACCACATTACAGGTGGGTATCACTCTAAGAATAAAAATTGGAACAGTGTACCATCAAAGTATAATAAGAAGAGAAAGCTATCAAAATTGCGTTTAACATAAACAGTTTTAATCTTACTTAGGATAGCGAAGGTCTCTACCGTAGAATCAAAGAGCTCAAACAAACCCTCGCTCAACAAACTGCCAAACTGGAGAAGGTGAAGAAACATAAAATAGGTAAGGTTTTCCTTATCTAATTCATACACTCTATGATGTGCTAAAGACGAGAAGATGGATGATTATTGGAAACAGAAGAAAGCTTTTAAAAGAAATTAATATTGTAACATTCCACTTTGGTAGCACATTTCTGCAGATATGGTTCGGTAACTAACTACAGCTGAGTCACCTGCTTATAGCTCGCCAAAATGAACTTTTCAGCGTATTCTTTATGATAACCTGCCGTTTTTTAGCCGAAGATATGTTAAGAAGAATTGACGAATTATTGAGAAAGCAGCAATTGATGAAGGATCGTGTCACAGAGCTTGAGAAGAAGGTGCGCATTACTGTGAAGAAGCAGAATTTGTAGAACTTTGAGAAAAGCCTACCGAAATCGTTTTGAAGACACGAATGGCCGTGAAACACCTTGTGGTCATAGCCCTGAGACAAACTGTCAATTTGCTCTCAACCCAAAAAAACATTTCAAACGACCTCTCACAGTGATACGCCTAAAATGAGCATTAAATGTATTCAATTATTATGCTATTAAAGGTGGAGACAGTCTATGAATCTTTTATGGAGCAGGAGGAAATGAAACATATCAGAGCACCCCAAATTCTAACCTCTCTCAAAGATGCTCAGGTACGCCATGCATTTTCTTCCGAATATGGTAATGACGAAGAAACTAAAATAATTTTTCGTAGTAAACGACAGAAGCTTATAATGAATAAATCAAAAACAGTACAGGTTGACGAGGGCAGTCGATTTGAATTTGTGGCGCGAATAGAGGGCGAACCTGAACCGAAGATCACGTGAGTGTCTGTTATCGCGCATGCTATTCGCGACTACTTTGTTATTTTCTAAAATATTCGTGCTCAAAATATGTTTAAAACATGACGAGAACTCGATCAGCATTCTTCAGTGTCAGCAGTAGCTTAAGGTTCTCTGCCAAAAATCAATATTTTTTAAATCTTCACTTCGTTTAATAATAAGAGGAAAGGCGAACAAGTGGGATAATAAAGAGGCTAGCAACAATGAAATCTGCATGCATCGCATGTTGTCTAGCCAATGGTTGGCTGAATTCGAGTCCACTGACGTTAAAACCAACCATCACTGGGTATCTTAGTAAGTTAATTACTTTCACTTTTGTAATTTTCTGTTTAATTTTATGGGAGTATAAACTAAGAATACTTTTCCTGCAAATATGGAATAAGCTAGCTCTGGACCGACCATTTCGTCTCACAGTCATAAGAGTGCGAGATCACTTTGTTCCAAATCAAGTGGCTAAAATGTAGGATGCAATCCACAGCTGCAAGACTACACCAAGCATCTATGTATGGGTGTGATTGCACCTACGAAGAAGATATAGGTTAGGTGGGAGAAACTCAAGTAGGGTGTCCAACGTGAGGTCAGTGGAACAATGATAGTAATCATGTTTACTACCAACGGTGTTGTAATACGAATACGAATAGTGAACAAATCCAGAGCACAATTTTTGCCTCAAAGCGATTTGAACTGATATTTTCTCACGAATTCTCGGCTGAGAATAAGCACATGTCTTTGGAACTCAACAGGAATGTAGAGAAGTTTATTGAGGCCTACTCGAGGTTATCCATGACTAGCGAGATTACAGGTGATGCAGGTGACACATACCCTCACATATGAGACACGTTCTACGAATTGGAAAAAAATGAAGATCTTAAAGACAAAATCGGACCGTTCTATACCACTGTGTATTTAGGTGGTTTAAGGACGGAATTGATGTGAAGAACAACATTGACTACCGTCAGGATTTCGTCAATGGTGTTGCCAGTCTTGTTATTGAGGTTTTGTCTTGTATCCTATCCTAAAGTTAATTTAACCCATATGGGACGTCCTGATTGTTTCTACCCTTTTCAGTTACTTTTGTTTTTTTTTTTATTTCTCTCATCCTTATCTTTGTTTTCTAATGGAGTAGAGCATCTAATCATGAACATTCAGGAAACTTTCATCGAGGATACCGCCACTTACACCGTGCGTGCTGAGAATGCTGGCGGCACGGTGGAGAGCAGTGCCAAGCTTATAGTGAAATGTATGCTTACTAAGAAGCTGCTTTTCCTTCCTTTTTTTCCTTCCTTCAGCACTTTTAGGAAATTTCTTGCCTACTTGGGCACCTGTGCGCGTCGTGTTTGCGAGTCATTGAGCCTCTGTACATTTTCTTTCCATTCCAATATCTCTTGGGATTGTCGTTTCGATTGTCGCTTTGATAGTCGACATGGGTAAGGAAAAATGGCATGTTCACGTTCGAGGAACTTCTTTGACACGTGCTACAATTTTACCAACATCCACGTATTGTGATCCTTCTTAAAGACTTATTCATCCATTTCATATTCTGGGTTGAGGCACATCTTCAAAACAATCCGGGTAATATTCCTCCTTAGAAATTTTGATGGGTACGGGTGCTGTGAAACGGTAAAGGTTGCAGTAAAATTTTTTCATTGTTGGCACGATTATATCTCTTTTCTTATACTTTTCCACCAATCTTTTACTAGCCTTCACTGATTCCTCCTACTTTGGTGATGGTGTTTCTGACACCAACTTTGTAAAGGGATGGAAGGACGTCTTTTCACCAATTACTTTTGTCAGCAGGTCATAAAACGAGCAGTAGGTGATGCCAGATACAATCTTTCTTGGAAGTAAATACTAGACATACAGCGCAGATATGCTAAGCTATCGTGAGAACGAGTGGATGAACGGGAAGCCTTACGCCATTTAGATTTTATGACTAAGTCTCCTCATTGCAGTGGGAAAGGTCTCTACACAAAGTTTAGGAATTCGCCGTCTTCTCTCTCAGCAATCGCGAGGTTGTTAAACAGCATGCGTTTACTTCTGTATGAAAACACACATACAACATAACAGTAGCTGACGTTTCAGCAGAATTGCCTTCTTCAGAGCCTGGAAGGGTACACTAATATGCAACTCACTAGGTCAAACGCCTCAACAGCACAAACAGAAAGATGAAAATCTACACGATAATTACAAGATCTACAGCTTCTCGAAAAGCACCGCTTTTTTCACCTGTCTTCCACCGAGGAAGAACAGCGGCTCGGAGTCGCATATGGTTGACGACTGCACCTACCCACATCAACGATCGATACGAAGGCAAGCGGCGAGATCACATGTGATCTCGGGGGCATTCCGCCCTACCATTCGTTGTAGGATTTTTGGCATTTATCCAAAAAGCCTCGAGGAGTTTGCGCTTTGGTGTTTTAGGGTCCTGCGCGAGGGTAGTTACTTTTATGTCAAAATCGTCCCCGCTATGCCTTTGTATCCTATGAGTCCCTAGTGGCGTACCTTGTCTAACTTTTCGTTTGCCTACTAAGTGTTCTTTTATGCGGATACATGAAGGTCTTCCCGTTTCGCCAATATATTCATCTCTGCAAGTACAACAAGAGATCCGGTATATCGTATCTGAGCTCATGAAGTCACCCTCCTTGCCATAAGGGCAAATTACGCAATTCTGTATTCCACATAGACGGTAGTATAGGCGGTTACGAACTAACTGGCGGCAAAGAGTATTCGGTGGTATTTCAATTATCTCTACCGATCCTTCTAGACCTGCCCTTTTTTAGCATCGCTTTATCACTACACTTAATATAGCAATAGCGCGTTTGTTCTCCACCGCAGACACCTGCGGTCCGGAGTTCTGCAAATATCTCAGCATTATAAAAGAATGAAATTCAGTCCATGTTGGATGGAAATTCTAGGAGACATGATTGGCGAGTAGCTCGATGGCCTGTGCGAGTTGAATTAGTGTATTTACGAATTTTTACTAAACTTTTAAAAAACAGGCTAAGCTGTGAATTTGAACTAAAAAGGTGTTTCCGTGAAGGATCTTTCCGTTTTAACAACTGTGTTACTGCTTATGTGCAATTGGTACCTTCATATATAAATGTATCACGGTTTAGCGAATAACGTTACAAAAGTTCTAGTTAATATAGTATTACACAACAGCTTGGAGAACTAAGGAAGAAATGGCAGAGGGCTGCTGCTGCATGGCGGAAAGCAAACAATCTAGTTCATTTACATAACTTCTTTATTTCAGCACGTTCGACAGCTTCAAGCTTGCTGGAGGAGGAGAAACCACGATTCATAAAACAGCTGACGAACGTGCAGATCTACGAAGGACAGACCGCTCATTTGGACTGCGTCGTCGTCGGTCGACCGGAGCCCGAAGTGGTCAGTGTGGCTGGCATTTGGTTGATACAAAGTCGTGTCCGGAAAGGTGTCAGGCGAGAATTGATCTCATCACCGGTTAAGCGCAACGCTTCATCGGCTTGTTGACCACCTCGAGATGGACAAGCCTTTGCTTTTTAGCCTTGCACATCAAACAAGTTAATACGTCAAAAAAGTGGATTTGCATCACTTTTGAACTATGGATCATATTTTCTTTGACTATGCTGTACTGTTTTCATCCACTTTTATTAGATCGCACATTTATTAAATGTTGAAATTTTTAAAGATCTGGTTCAAAGAGGAGAAAACTGTGCAGGAGGACGAGCGATTCCATTTGGAATTCACTGGCGACCACTGCTCGCTCACCATAGAACGAACAGGTATCGCAAAATATAGTGTTCTGCAAAAAGTATAAGCAGAGTCGTATTCAGTTCCTTCCGACACTGGTATGTACACTGCTAAAGCACGGAATATTTATGGAGAGTCAACCAACTTCTGCCAACTGAAGGTATTACATGCAAATTTTCTGAAAAATATGACAACTAGGTTAAGCGTTCATTCCCAAACTGGCGGAAATCTGATAACCTCGGCAATTTTCTAAAGAATAGCTTTAATACAATCGAGGAGAAATACTACAGAACAGAACGGAGAAAACGCCTCGCACTACGACCATCCAGAATACTACAACGGTGCACGTTACACTTGAACTGAAGCATCGTAGTAATGGGCAAACACATAGCACACTCTGCTTGCCGCCATCTCTTTTAACTCGAGCAATTTTTCGTTGCCCATCATCCCCTACTCCTTAAAATAATATTCATTTAACGAAATTAAGATGCATTAAGTAAGAAAGGAAAAAACACAGAAGGTTGTCAGTGAAGTCGACATAATGCATAACTGGATGGTGTGTTCATTCTTACTAAGATATGCCCTCAAACAGGCATAAAGATATCGTAGTAGGATAAGTAAAAAGAAAGAACACTTATCAAAGTGTCTTACGAAGGAGGCATATCACATCTTCTGCAGGTGTTACCGAAGAAACAACCTCCGCCGACGCCTCCGAAGCCTGCTCCACGTCTGGCCAGGGCACCGGAATTCCAGCAGACTCTGTCCGCCATCACTTGTGAAGAAGGGAGCACAGCCACTTTTCAGTTAAGCACACAAACACTACTATTTGAAAATTTAGAAATATTTTTATTCATTAAACCGTAAAATGGTCGAAAAAAAATTTTAGGTCAAAGTTCATGGGGAACCGCCTCCTCGTGTTGAATGGCGATTCAATGAACAGACGATTCAAACGAGTGAAACAGTAAAAATTGAGGAAGAGGTGAGCTCGAGCTTTTTGAGAAAACAGGCTGCTTTTTATCGCAGAGAATTTTGATGGCCCAGCGATCTTTTTCCTTTTTCCACCTAATTTCCAAGAAAAATGTCCGAACTCAGACAATACTGAAATAGGAAAGCGAATTCTGTTTGAGAAGATATCAATAAGTTGTCTTAGCTCTTACGCTGAACGTAAAACGATATTGTTGCAGTCAGAAGGCTGGTCGAAACTGGTGATTTCTCCAGTCACTCCTGCTCACGCTGGTACCTACTCAGTGCTAGCAGAAAACGAAATAGGAGAGACAATCACGTCTGCTACACTTCATGTGCAACCGCCGTCTCACAGCAGGACGGAGAAGTATGAGCACATGGTGCAGGAGGTCAGTGGCACTACCTTGGTCTTTTACTGGTGTCTTCGACAGCTCACAGTGGACACATATCCAGATGGAGCCTTATCTTGGTGTAATGCTGGAATATGAGTTTGGTTTTTAAAACTTCAAGGCATAGAAATAAAGCGGTAAGGTAAGAAGCATTATTCACTAGTACAAACCTGAGCTACTCATAATGAAGCACATTTTGTTGGAACTATCAGAAACCGATCACTGACTGGTCTTCAGTTAAGTAGATGAAATTGCAATAAATGAATGAGAAAGGAATGAAATGTAACCCTTCACTGCTCGGAGGTTTTGATAAAAATAGATTGAGGTTTTTGACACATCGCTTGCATCACACTGTCAAGAAAGACCGCGGCAACAACTGATGTGATCTTAGGTAGTTGCCTAAGATCGGAACCTCGGATTCTCTTTATTACTTTCCGCGAAACCCTTAGCAGCTCGCTTCTATCTCGCACTCACTTGAGTAGCGCAAACCGTGCTTTTATCTTGACTACAAAGTGTACAACTTTTGGAGGCATAATGAATTTTGAGGCAAAAATGGTTACACGAAGTTACACGTTTTAATCTCCTACTCAGTTCAGGAGCCTAGTTTTTGTCGCTGAACTTCCCAATACATAGACAGAGACATTCGTTTGCTTATCGTCAATGAAGAATCAAGAGGAAGCAGCTTTACTAAGTTAGCCATACAATTTCACAAAATATTTAAGAGTTACGTGATTAAGCGAACGTTGGCTGAGAAAATGATGGTGTCGGAAGTGTTCAGTTTCCAGTCTTGCATGCTAGAGTCTTCTTTTGCCTGACTCTACTGCTATAGCCAAAATCTAATTTTCATCGGCTGCACGGACCAAATGCAGCCTTCGATTACTTGAATACTTGGATGTCCCGCCTTCATGATTCGTGAAAAATCCTGCAGACTTTGCATAGTTTCTATTTGAATGGTACCTTATTTACTATTTGGAAAAAGCCTTCCCTTCCTCTAGTCTCGAACAACGTGCTGGCTCCTCTACAGGCCGTCACCAGTGCCTAGCGTTACCAGAATTGAAATGATTCGTGGCACTGACTTACTTCAAGATGAAATGAGGAACCCACTTTTCGCTTTAGCCCTACTAGAGATTGGGTCCCCGCTTCGCTACACCTAAGAACATTCCAGCACAGCTTTGAATACTGTACATGACGACAATATACGTAGACAACAAAAAGTGCAGCACCAGGATACGCATTCCCAAACAATGCGAATTTTCTTCCCGATATATGACTCTAAAACAAAGTTGCTTGTAATTCAAAAAGCCGACTTTCCATAAACCTCAGCATAAATAGTTTATACATTTATTTATATGTTGTTATGAACTGATCTTGTTGAGCTGATGCGAAGTTTTCGTTATGGTTATTGGTGTCGTTGTCGTTGCTACTGGTGTTGTTGGTCAATGGCTGACGTTTCGACGATTTCGCCTCCCTCAGAGCCGTGCTGTTACGAGTGGGACTTCCTCCGACAACGACAACAACAACAACAAGAACAACGGCAACAACAACTAATACAAACTTCGCATCGGCTCAACAAGACCAGTTCATAAAAAGTTGCTTGTATTGCGTGAAACCGCGTTAAGATATTTCGGTATTGGCAACAGCTCAGGTGAAAGGCTAAGGCAACTGAAACTGTGCTTCATTTTTAGTCGAAATATACTTTACTGAAAAAGTCCAACCTGGCAAAAAATCGCTTAGGTAGGAATTGATAACTGCTTTGGTGACTCATTCTTGTTATCATAAAATCCGACACTGGATTGGTTTTATTTCAGGAAGCATTTGAAAGATTAGCAAGGCCAAGTGAAAGAAGGGAGGAACGAGTTGATAAAGAGGAAACCGAGGTGGGAACCCTCTTTTCAGTTTCTTCAGGTTCTTTCAGATTCAAAATGCATTTGCTTCAAAATTGTTTAGTGAGATGCTCACTGAAAGTATCCAAGCGATCACAACATTATATGAGAACGCTTACGTTGAGTATCGAGTATTATTGTCGTCAGAGTTTCAAGTGAGCTAGAACTGTAAATGTGGTTGATAAAATAGGAGGCAAAAAGTTATACGATGAACGTCATCGAACTCAGTCAGGAGTGATACATATTTGCGAGTTTTTGCGCGTCTAATGATTTGCGGTGGACTTGGATTCATTCCAATCTGAATGGTGTTTTCTCTTGCTTGAGTTGCATATGCTTCTTCCATAGCGAACTGCTGTAGAAATGCTGCTCCAATAACAGACTCAATTAGGCTTTCAAGAAGTTCGAAGCATTAACTTGTTAGGATAACAAATATCCCTCCTATCCACATGAACCATCGGCAGCTTGTAGTTACGACCTAAGGAGAACCTAGCACAGCTAACCCCGCTTTCAGAAAAAAGATAGTAGTCAACGACACTTCTCATCTAACCTTCATTTTTATGCGTGTTATATTTCAGGAATTTCGCGAAATGCATGAACATATATCTCAACCGTTGATCAGCGAACAGAAAGAAGTGAAAACCGTAGAGACCTACGTGGAGGTAAACACATGATGGCTTCCAGATTGTCCTTCGCTATTCGTTTATCCTACCATCACATTTTGAAGTTTAATGGCTTTCGCAATAGATGGTTTTGAATTCGAATCGACTTTAAACTAATTTATTTAATTTATTTTATAATTTATAATTTATTAATTTATAATTTAATTTATTTAACGTATTGTATTTAACAATCATCATACTAATCCTAGGGCGCGTGTGGCGCAGTGGTTGGAGGCGCCACTGCGACACACACGTGAATCGATTCCCGCGCCCGTGGCCCACCAAGACTTCCATCTCTCCAAGGTCGGCAAATTGTTGCCAGACTTGTCTGGGAGGATAACAGCACAGGCTAGATGCATCGGTAGGCCTTCGCGAGTCTTGTAAAGGCCAGATATGCATTCAGTCACCTTCAAATGATACTTAATAAAGTCATTCGACTTCCTCAGCCCTCAAGGATGGATCAACACCGAGAGCTTTATCCTCTATCGTTTTATACCAATCCTATTGCTTTTTCTGGAAGTTATAGGATATGCCCCATAACTAAGTAGGGTCGGGAGAGCTAAACAAGAGCACATTGAGTTCAGTAACCATTAGGTCTAATCCCATAGTTAGAATCCTTTAACGAAGATTCTACCAGAAAAGAGTTGGAATACGTTTGGCAACCTCACCGATGATGTAAAGATGGTTAATAGACGTTAATAGACGACGAGCCACGTTCTTTCTCAACAACCGTCACCACCACTGATTATGCGCCGGTCCTTCTGATTTGCGAGAAACTACGTAAAGGGAAATCCTACTCCATCTAAAATTTGTTAGGAAGACTATAGAGTTTTACAAAAATTTGAGTTCATTTTCACCAAATTTTGTTTATCACTACAATAAAGTGGGTATTTAAGTCAGAATCTTTCTCTAAGTAGTAAGTGGGTAGGTTAGGTGGCAAGGGGACACTTTCTTCAGCAGTTGAATAGTGGCCTCTATGAGTGGTATGAATCTCAGCAGATTTGTCTTTCTAGTGGTCAGATGGCGAGATTTTTCCCATTCAAACAATCATTCACTGCTCTTAAAATGCCGCATATTTGCTTCGATGGCGTTTAGACATTTCTGGAAGACGAAAAGTGTTAGACATTTTACACAGAAGATATATTTTAGTTAAACAGTGCTTAATAGCCCTGTTTGGCTGAAATGTGATGCTATAATGAAGAGTACTGAAAATGAGAAATCTCCTCCAATTCTTGTCAATGAAAACTTTGAAATCAGCTACCAAGTTTTGAGCATGAAATTCTCAAGAAAGTAGTTCTTCATGGAAAAATGAAGAGTCCAAGCATTATTTTCTAACAGGGCTGGATGTTTGGACATCAAGCGGAAATGGCGATCACTTTCCTGAGACCGAATTTTCCGTGATAGAAATGATCCTTTAACAATACAAGCTTAAATCCAATCATTCGTTCATTTCGAAATTTTTAGAGCGAAGCCAAAGAATTAGAAGTTCGCCTTTTTTAGTGGTCTACCTCGTGACCTCAGTCAGCCATGGTAAGAAATTGGTAGCTGCGAAGCCGCTTAAACTGGAATAAGCGCGATGTTCTGGGTTTTTTCAAAACAGTAGAGGTTCTTTTGGACAGCTTCTATAGATCCTCAGGTTTCCACTAACACTGAAATCGTGAAAGTGACAAGTCCACAAAGAAATTTGTATACTCAGAAAAAAGTGCTTAGTGCCATCATTTTCCCGAAAACGCTTTGTGCTAGACATGAAGGCTGGCCTATCTACAATTAAATGATATGGAATAGTGGTTATCTCCCAGGCCAGCAAGTTGCCTTTACATAATGCCATAATATATGTTCATTGATTATATTGGTGATAAACACTTTATGATTGCAATGTCTGTTTTTCTACAGAAAATTAGAGAGGAAATGCCAGCGCCAAAAGTTGAAACCACCACAACCACCCACTCATCCATGGAGTTCTACACTGCAGGAGTAAGTTGATATCAAGCACATTGGATATAAAAGTGTTTTATCCCATTTCTTTACTATTGTTTTTTTCCACTTTATTATCTTTGGTGTATTATTTTTACTATGCTGTATAGTTGACGATATTAACATGGAGACACATTCAGATTTTGATGATTTCGAGTAATTCTGATCAAACATTACAAGTGATCAATTTTGTGCTTCCAAATGAGTTTAGGGTTCGTTTTGACTCTATCCATCCTCTTAGGCATACTACGAGAGAACCCCGCCGCCGAAGCAGAAAGAAAGGACCATGTCAACTTCTGTCGAGAGAATGTACACCGCCGTGGGTTGTTTCAGTCTTCATCGCTGTTACTCATTTCTTAGCCTATACTTGTTGTTTGTTTCTTAGTTTTATATATGTCTTTTCAAGAACTTAGAAACTTAAACGAGCACTAAATACGACGAAGAAAGTAAATAAGGAAAAGCGGCAAATTTTTAACTAAAACAACTTTATTGTTATTGATATTGCTATTATTATGGTTACCATTGACACTATCATTTCCGTTTTTTTTATTATTAGCTATCAAGAAACTGTTATATTGCTTTC